TCTCTGCTGGTCACTACTGGGGGGTTTGCTGTTGGGTGGGTTATGTTTGGCTTTGGGGTTTGTTTGGGGGGTTTGTTTCCTTGGGTTTGGGATTTTTTTAAAAATACAATTTCACACCTAAGATGCTGCTAGGCAAATAATAATTTTTAGTACTGTATTACCAAGACAGACGGTGGAAGAGATGGGAAGAGAACACCTCCTTCCAGAACCACGTCTTCCAGCTCAGTGCTTGGACCTCATCCGCCTCCAATTTCCACAGCTATGGGCTGTGCACACAGAGTGCCTGAGGCGCCACTAACCTGAATTAACCTGAAATCTGCTTTTTTAGTGACTTAAAGCTTTAGAAACAGAAGAATTCACAGTCTGAAAAAATTACATGCGACTAATCGGCCAAAAAACATCCACACACTTAAAAATGACAAAGTAAACCAGCCTTACGGAGTAGAATTTGCCCAGTTTTAGTGGGGGTGTCAGGGGTGCAATGATACTCAGCTAGCTTCGGTAGCATCAAAAGCCTGTGGTGTATGATAACATTTGTATGATAAAGAACAAAAGTCTGACAAGTGTAATCCTGATACTGGTGTGTTTCCTTTGAGGATTACTCAGCAATTAAAGATTTCTAACAGTCAGTCTTACATTTCAAAGGACAATGCTCCAAATCCCTAAGGAAATCATAAGCCAGTTACAGATTCTTCTTGGTTTTCAACTTTTTAGAGAGCAAAAAAGCCATGCACATTTAACTGTATTAACGAGTTGAACGGCTTAACATCTAAAACCACCTAAACCAGCCATTATGTCTAGAATGTAAAGCGTGATTTCTTCCACAGCAGAACCGGTATGCCGCAGCACCGGCGGATAAGGAGTCTTTTTCTGCAATTTATCACTCAGGCTGCCCTGCAGTAAAAGAAAGCGTTAGTGCACAAATGCCTTTCTGCGCTTGTTTTGCTATTTTCCTCCCCAAAAATGACTGGGTGTAGTCCTACTAATAAGAAGGGGCATTCTGGTTGTTAATGAGAAACACAAAAGGTCTTGAATTAACCAGAACATTGCTGCAACCTTCCCACTCACAAGGGCATTTTGGAAAGCCGACTGGTTTGCAGACAACAGTTTTATGAGGCAAGTGGCTACCAGTAAGTCTAGCTATACATTACATTTATTTTTTACTAATACTGTAAGTTCAACAGCTGTCACCGAGGCCCCTAAGAACTGCCTGGCATTTAGTCATCTTACCAACACCGCAGCCGTTCCTCAGGAACCCAATAAGGATAGCGTTGACTTGCATAAAAAGCTAATTGCATAGAAGGTTCTATCACGTCTGGATATTTGAAGGGAGCAGGCACTATACAAATAACTTTTATTCCGCAGGAGATTATTCTGCAAGATAGCTCCGTTGGGTTTTTTTCCCCCTTCTCCTCACCCACTAGTGTCCTTCCAACAATGCAAAAAAGCAAAGAACACCTATGTCAACAGATGCTCGGAGTTGTGATCCTGTAACCCATCTGGGACCACCTACTTTGTAGGTTGTAAAAAAAAAAAAAACCTGAATAATTGCCCCAGTCATCTCAGCAGCGCTAGGGAGAGCACTAAGTGTCAAAGCCTGGGCCAGTTTGCCTGATATCGATAGGCATAACAAGTGAATGAATTAAAAGGAATTCTCTTTCCTCTTAACAATGTGTTAATGAGATCAAGACAACAAGAATAAAAACTACAATTTGCAGCAGTAAACCACAATCAGAACTAAAGCAGCTACATCAAAAAAAAAAAAGAGACTAATACAAACATTTTAAACAAATAACTTGGTGAAGAGAAGCCCTTTCACTCTATCCACACAGAGTGGGCTTTCCTGATTTCCTCTGGGGTCACCTGGGCACGACAGAAATGATGCTAGAAGAGTTACCCTTTAGCTCGCATAACGTTTTAATTAAATTAACATTTCAACATTTTTCCACAAGCGCATCTGTAGCAGCAGCACCAACAAATTAAAAGATTCCCCCCAAAATGGGTCAAATCGTAGTCTCTAGACAACAGGACTTCTGTCAACTGCATTTCAAGTGGTCAACTGTATTTCAGATGCGAGGGAATTATCTAACAGGTCCATCATTGTCCTTTAAAAACTACCTGGAAGGTTTTCAATCAAGTTTTGACTTGTTTTGACCAGATACAGCAACTGGAGTTGCCTGTCGATAGCGTCAGCGACTCCAGACAGGCTCCAGGAGCAGGGATCGTTCCCCCTCGACATAACTATCCTCGTCGGCTCTTCAACTAACTACGCAGGGAAGGCAAACTTTAGTTTCTAAACTGTTCTTCTTTTCCGAATTGACAGACCTCAGAAACAGATGCCATTGAGTCAGTGTAAGGAACAAAACCGTTCGAGCAACAAGTTTAGCCTTGGGAGCGGACGCACATGCTTGAAAAATTAACATCTTGTCTGAAATAATTCATTTTTCAGTGCTTTTCTTCTGAAAGCAGAAACACAGATACTCATCTCTCATGCATATGACACACGGCATTTTTAAAGTTCTGAAATAAAGGCAATAAACAAAAGTACATGGACTAAAAGACTCTCGTATTTTGTTAGTGCCCACAGTTCCGAATGAGGTGGGACGTCTTGGAGGGGTTTCAGGGGGACACACCACCAGTTGAGCAAAATACCAACTGCTAATTTCATTCCCTGCAAGCACCTAGAACTCTCCCATTATTTTACTTTCAGGGAAAAAAAATGCAACCCTACAGCAGGCTTTGAAAGGTTCACAGCAGATCCTGCAGAAGCGGATAAACAAATCTTTTTAAAAGGAAAAATGTCATTTTACTAATGCCCTCTGCAAAGAGCGGCTACATTAGTCTTGGCAATCTTTACAAATCCTCCCCCGTGTTTTCAAAAGGGAGCCAGAGCATTGAGATTTGTTCAACAAATGGCAGCGTGAGTCAGTGGGCCTGGGAGCGGTGGGTAGGAAGGAGTAGATGACGTCCATTGAGTCACAAAAGTCTTCAAAATGATTCATGTCATAACACGGATCCAGAAGAGCGACTTGTGGTTTAGACATAAACTATCTGGGTATCCGTGCCTAGGGACTCACCAGCAAACATGGCACAAACACGTCCCGGTCCATCCGCCGACTCGACCTCCCTCCTCCGCACCAGATAAACAGTTGAGCCAGCACCAAACGTTAGGCCAAAACCGGCACTAGTGCTCGTGCAGGGAGGGCGAGGTTAGACCACTGTCACTCAAAACTGCTTTCAGAACGTAGAACGGCAGCTCTGTTGTTTTAACCTGGGAGCTCTGCAAAACTCCGGAAGCCTGGCAGTGGAGCTGCAGATCACCGCTGGCGAAAGAAGTGGAGAAACGAGCAGGAAAATGCTTGCACGAGTCAAAACTGACAAACCCTTATTCACACGCTACAAGGCCTCATACGAACATGAGTCACAAAAGATCTCAGCTTTTGTTCCTGTCGAACCATGTCATTCTACCTTTAACGAGGTAGCCCCAAAAAAAAGACTAAACAAAAGAGATAGTTTGTGAGCATGCCTGCACACTCAAGAATAGCTCTGCTTCGCCAAGTACAGTCCCAAGCCAACAAAACTCCTCAGCCAGAAGCAGCACTGACCTTGGGAAGATATCCTTAAATACTGTCCACGTATAACTCAACCAGTACAGTGCACTCACCAGTCCAGACCACCTTTGTCTTCTGCTGGGAGTAGCACCAGAATTACCTCTTGTACTCCTTTGCAGTCACTTCTGAATGATATACAATTTATTTTAAAGTTACTAGGCAGGTGACAACGAGCTGTGAACACAGGTTGAAAAGGTCCAGAGATGTCATCCTCCCTACAAGAAAACTTTTTCCTTCTCTCAGGAAAAACTGGGACATTAGGTCTGTTCCCAGTCTCTCAGAGTGCACAAGAAACTCTGCCATGAACACTTTACGATGCTGGTACCGGTCTGCGACCCACCTGCGTCAGGGTCTCCCATGCTGATGGTGTATTCTGGCCCCAGCTACGCAGAGTCCTCCGTGATAGACCTCGCCCATGAGCAAGGGAGGAGGTAAGGCAGCAGAGAGACCCTCCGGTACCAGTAGGTAACGCTCAACTACAGGATCATGCCACGTTCTAAAATATCCCCTTTTGCAATCAGCACAATCTTGAATCAGCTCTCTAGTGGGAAACAGCCTTGCACTCCTCCTTCCTCTTCCTCTTGATCCCGATAAACAAGAATTTCTTCCCATAGTACTAATACCAACTCTCGTGTTTTCTTTATTCAGAGGTAGGCTAATGCTGGCTATAAACAGATGCACGTTACACGTTTCATCTTCAGCTCAGAAGGCAGAAGAGGGCCTGAACAACAATGTCAGAACTTCAGAAGCCTTCTAATTTTAAATATAAAAATCCAACAAGCCATACGTATTTATGGACTTCTATTTCAGTTGTTAACTACGTCTGAGAAACAAAAAATGAACATAGCAGAGAACTTAAACGTGGATAAATACTAAATTTTGAAATCAAAAGCTGCTTTAATAACTTTTAATAACTACACATTCCCTGAACAACCCGATGCAGCTTTGAAGTCAGCTCTGCTAACTCGGAGGAGGTTGGACTAGACACTTCCAGGAGGCCCCAGCCAAACTGAATCTTTCCAGGATACTAAAATTTAATTCAAATCACCATTTAGGTGCACATTCCCACAATTCTTCCCAAACTTTTCTAACAGGCTGTGCTCCTTTCAATGTGAAAGAAACTAACTCGTATCACAACAGATCATTGTGCAGGGCTTTTTGGTTTGGTTGTGACTTTTCTTTGCTTATCTTTCTTTTTAAACCAAGTCCAATAATCCCATTCATGTATTGTTATATAAAGTTTCTGGGTAGAAGGGAGTTTCCGTCTTTTCAACTTGTGGTAGCCCTTAACTAAGATTAACAACTGATCAAAGCAAGATTTTGTTTGTTTAGTGTGGAGTCAATACCAATTTCTCAGCTGAAGAAATTGTTTTTGAAACAGGCTCTTACCACTCCAATTAAGTCTCCTCGGCCGTATTCACCAGTCAGGTGCTTTTTTCCATCATCCATCCGTATGACTGAGCGAAGTCGACCATTCAACACAATGTACGTGCAGTCTGACTTGTCACCCTGCCTGCAGAAAGAATAATCAATAACGAGGATTAGTGAAGCACCTTTGCTCATCAAATGCATCTCAAGCCTTTTAATAAATTGATCATCTTTCCATAGAGGACATAAGAAAATGTTTAACCAACAGTTAAACATAACAAGCAAACAAGAAACTGAACAGGAATCTGTTAAAAGGTGACTTGGAAAGGTGTTTAATGTTTAAATGTACAGGTTACTCTTAGGTCTGGAAGCAGATGACCAGAACAAAAGTGGTCTCTAGAGGAGACAACAGGCTCGTTACTGGTTACAGCAGGAGCTGCTTGTCACTGCCAGGTCAATATGGATGCGTAGAGAAATTCTGCAGGTCAAAGAGAAAAACCCCCAAGTGGCTCAGGGTTTGGATTCCTTTCAGTGCACACAGTCTGTCGGGAAGGTTTTGCTCTATCAAGTTTGCATGATTAGGAGCATGGTTTGGCACACAGATTGCCAGTATAACCTTGTACGCGGATGAAATGCCGTACTTCTGGTAGTGGGGTTAAAATTCATGTGAGGAATTCCAAAAGATTTTAACAAGATACTGTCAACTATGACTGCTTTGATGCACAAAGTAATCCAAAACTTCCATGAGCATAAGCACTGCAGGTATAGTTATAAAAATCAAAATTACAATTATATAGAACACGTACTCAATTAGACCTTTATTCTCCCACCACTGCAGCAACCATATAATGGCTCAAATGTATCCTAGTACAAAAATCCATAAAACTAAGTTTTCCAAGGATAACTTTTGCCCCTTAAACATAAAGCGCAGTGCCTCTCTTCAATTTACTCTTGAATAAGCCTAAATGAATTCCCTTGGAGTTTTGCTGTTTATTTTAGAACAGCTGAAAAACCTCTTTGAGCAATAGATGTTCATGCCCTTAACAATGCAGAAACTACCACCAGAACATACAACCGTCTATGTCTTAATCGATTATGTCACTTTAAAAGCTTGCCGAGACAACATAAAGGGTGAGGGATAGTATGAAAGAATTTTAGTAACACCTGGAGACAAGACACTGAAGCAATGTTGATGGGTACTGCAGAAAGAAAATAATCTCAAAATAGGCAAACAGATAAACCCGATGGAATGGTTGACAGATAGAATAAGAAACTCATTGGACTAAATTTATCACCAAGGGAGCACAGCCCCTTAACTATAAAAACTTAAATATTCAACAGACAACATGCAATTTTGTCCACATCTCACCTGTAAACAGCTCGTCCAGCCTCAACCTCCATCCAATCCAGGGCAAAGTCAATTTGCCTAACAAACGGGGACATTCTCTTCACAACTGTGTGGGCCACACCGAGAACCACGCTTGGCTGCTCCCGCATTATCCTAGAAGGAAAAAAAAAAAAGTTATTCAAGTGTTTCCCCAAAATGGAATAGGCACAGCATGCCAATGCAACTGGGCAGTTATACAGGCGCTAATTCAGAAGTTAGTACATACCCCCTACACACACGCTCCACTATCGCCACAACCACACTACATCGGTGATAATTTGACAAAGTTTGGGGCTTCCCAGCCTTCCAAACTAGCCCAAATTAAACGTCACTCAAAGGTGGCACTGTCCCAGAGGCAGCCTAGGCAGGATGGTAGCTAGCCCTGCTGCCTGGCCCAACTCCCTCTGAGCGCGCAGCGGGATGGACGGAGCCGTGCCAGCTCTGGTCTACGAGCCGCCCTCCCAACCTCCCCTTCACCCAGGTCTCTTACAACTCAGGGAAATGTTCGTGCTGTCCAGAAGATTGTCCCTTCCTGCTGTTCTGCACCTCTCAGTCTCGCACATGTGCACGTGTGCTCAGTTTCCCCTAGGTTTTTTATCAGGTCCAAACCCAATTATATGTAAAGTCTGATGCTCTTATATTTAAGAATAATTTTTCCCTGTTGCAAAGACCACAAAGAACTCAAATATCTTCTTATAAAGCTTCTGATCTTCACACTGAATCTTTTGAGTGATGTTTAATAGTCTCCACTAATAAAGATAGGATGTAATTCAATACTTTTCTCAAACTGGAAAACTTTGAGAGTGTTCTGCCAGGGAAAACTGCTAACTGACACTGACTGCGAGGCCCGAGGGAAATTGTGCTCACAGACACCTGATAACTGCTCATAAATGTCTTATTTCTTATTCTTTTTAGACTAAAGATCACTTCATCCTGTCACTCTGTGAGTAAGCACTCAAATTCTTACTGAAGCACGACTCCCCAGGAGTGAACCGATGGCGCACGTCTCTAGACGGTGTACCCGTTAGGACATCTTTTCTGTCCCTGCGCAGCGCCAAGAGCCATTGATGGCCGACTACTAAAAAGCAGTTAATTCAGAAAGCAGTGGGTAAGTGTACGCAGACCCGGCACGCAAAGTACACGCAGATAGAGAGGAGGGAGCCTCGTTCAAGCCACACACGGGCAGAAACAAAGAAGAGAAAATGATAAATACTTCGTACGCTTTCTGCATCAATGTTCCCTTTACAATGAAGATACCAGACTGCCATAAGACAATCTACTCGGGAGACCCTGTGTACCTGGGAACTCTGCTAAGCCCAAATCACGCGAGCTTTGTATCTAACCTCACATCCTAAACTTTCTAATAGTTTCTAAACTATCAGATCTCTCATTCATTGGTCCTGTAGCTGCAGCAAGGGACCAGAGCTGACAGCGACTACGGGTCGAGCGCAGCACACAGGGCACTGCTGGGACCTTTCATGTTTATCTACTCTCCTTACCCAATGCCTCAAATTACTACTTTTCACAATAATGAAGCTTATAATTTCTTAAGCTGAAATCCCTGAATTTGAAACCAAAGACATTCCTAGGCGTATATCCCTATTCCATACTGAGCTCATCACACACGTACCCCTGCACTCATGTGTGCTACTAGGTGAGTTAAACTGAACACCAACTCTCATTTAGCACGGTTTAAAATCCAACCATCAAAACAGGATTCTGGAAAAGCAGGACAGCTTTCCTCTCCTGCCCCGAGGTTTCCATGTCCCCCCCCAGCTCCTACCCACGGCACGTACAGACTACCTTGGTTTCGATAAGCTATTATTGCACATGAAAACAACATGTTATCTTATGGAAACGTTACCACACCAACATAACTTCGAGCAAAGGCCAAAGGAGCTGGAAGGGGCACCCCAGGATAAGTGCCAATAAACAGGCAACACTAATCCCCCAACACACACAAAACACCCAGCCCTATCAGCTGATCTAAAAGTTAAATAAACCCCCCTGCAAACTCCTGAACGGTTTAGCTCATTGCTGTTACTCTACTGGCTTATCTAGCCCTCAAAGTCTCCTCCCACACAGGCTGTCTGCTGCGATCAGTAAAAGCCATTTACTCCTTTTCCTCCCTCAAGATATGTATCTTAATACTTAATGCATTCAAAATGTAAACTATGAACAGGCTGCTTTTATTTCCATCTGGAGCTCTCTGGTATTTCACTGATGCTATACAGCTTCTACAAGAGTGTTATGATGGAAGGTAAAAGCTCACCCTTATGCATAAGAAGAGAAAAGCAGATTTCCCCCCCCCCCCATTATAAGCCCAGT